GAGAAAGGCCGCTATTCAATCAGTAATGCCATGGTGAAACAATAAACCCTTAGGTGTGAAAATAATTGAAATGCTAAAGTGCAGCGGATTCTATTGCCTAGAGTTATTTTCTATCAAAATTGACAACCAAACAAGTTATGATATGCCGCCGTGTAACGAAGACAATCTATGTGACTTTATCATAACTCACTGAAATCGGTTTTAGAGTTTACTCATCTCATTGGTTATCAAAAGTTATTTCAATAACAAATCATCAATGAACATGTTACAGTTTATTTTTACAACGAAATGTTCTTTGAAATGAATGAAATCTATCTTAACTGTTTATATTTACATTCCATTGTTTAATATTTAATTATGTAGATATTAAAGTTGACTAAATTTTATTCAATTACTATTTAGAGAAATGAAACAAATCTGCTGAATCTATCTTTTTTTAAAAATAATTTTCAACAGAGTAAACTCTTAAAGCTTAATTTACTTTAGTGACGATACAAATAATAGTAATGGCTTTATCTATTACTACACGTTTGATCACAATAAAATTACTCAGAATAGATTATGAGTCGTCACAACAAATTTCTTTTCTTGTGGAAATTTCTCATCATGCGTATTTTTGTTTTTAAGCACAAATGGTTTCCCACTTTTTTTCGAAGAATATGTTAAAGTGAGAAAATACACGGTAGATTAGTTAAAATGAATCTACATTATAATAAGTGTTTTTGTAATATTTTGCGCTATTAGAAAGTCAATGTGACTTAAGTTTAATTAGGCGCATAATCAAAAATTCTATTTATACACAACCAAATCAGGATGAACAATGATATTTGGTGAATTATTGTTTTAGTTATCTGAGTTTAATGATTCCAATAAGAAATACTGCCACCAAATGCCCTGGTACGGCCGAAAATGGGGAGAGTCAGCTCTCCCTCTCGGAATGCTCTTACATGGTCACGTGCATACAACTCCTGCTAGGGGAATCCTACTCACTGCTTTCCCGCGGCAGGGGTGTTGTCTGCGAAATTGGGAGAACGAAAAGTGAATGCCGGATTGGTGAACACGGAGGATCCACCTAGGGGATTTGGAAAACCCTTATTCCAAACCAATGGTGCACATGGGCTCCCGGATCCTGAGGGGAAAATGGCGTATGGACTAATCGTTGGTCACCGGTTATCATGGAACTGCATATCCTTACGTTGCTCCACTGCCTTGTGGATTACAACTTCAGGTCAAAGGCTCCGGGTGTGGCCCCCTAAGAAAACCACCTGCTTCGGTTTGAACAACCGGGCAGCATCCTAGCCCTCACACAAATTGAATGATTTATGTGGCACATATCTTTTCGGTGCCTCCTTGTACCAATGTTTATATATTTAAATAAATAAATAAAATAATAAGAAACATTTGATATTCGAAATGCTTCATGCGATTATAACAACTTCTTGTACCACTACGATCTACTGTTTATCGTGTACAAATATGCATAAAATGCTCTTTTAAACTATTTTTTCTACTTAGTTTACAGTTTTGACATTGATGTTGTGAGACCCGTGGTTCAGTAAGTGAAATTGTAATATTGTAATAGGTTTGATTGAAGATAATCTTGGCTTTGTTTCTATTAATTGTAATATGAATAAGTTAAATGAGTAGGTCTAAACAAATCACATAGTGAATAAATTATTTTACGTTATTAGTTTATGTGATCATTATCTGAAATTCATTGTGTTTATTGAGTCGAAAAATTCAAAGAAACTTATCAGTTAGTAGTTATCTAATAAAAGTTCCAATGTGACCAGAAAGTTATAAGCCAAATGATGCATTATAAACGGCAGATTGTATCAAAAATTACTCGATGCTTCACTTGACAAGCTTCTTGCCAAATATCTTGTCAAAGTAATCCTAGTTTTTAGATTCTGAATTTTTCTAGTTAGTGAAGTAGTACTTTGAAGTCAAAACTTGCTTTCCTAAAAGGAATAACACAATAGGCTTCTTGAAGAGGTGGAACCTTTCACTTATCTGGGTATCATCATCCATGAACAAGGAGGAACTGATGCAGACTAAAAGGCAAGGAAGGATTGTCAAAGCAAGGTCCACATTCCTACAATTGAAGAACATACGGAACTCAAAACGACTGTCAATTAATTTCAAAGTCAGAATCTTCAACACGAACATCAAGACAGTTTTATTGTATGGAGCTGAAACTTGGAGAACTAATACAACTATCATCAAGAACGTAGAAGTATTCATAAACTATTCTCTACGTAAGATACTGAATGTCCGTTGACTGGATACCATCAGCAACAGTCTACTGTGATAGACGACAAACCAACTTCCGGTTGAGGAGGAAATTATAAAAAGACGTTGGGAATGGATAGTACACACATTACGGAAATCACAAAACTACATCAAGAGGCAAGCCCTAACATGGAATCCTGAAGGGAGACAGAAAAGAGGAGGACCGAAGAATGCACTACGTCGGGAAACACAAGCAGATATGAAAAGGATGAATAGCAACTGGAAAGGTTCGCCTAGTACAGAATTGGATGGAGAATGCTGGTGGGTGACCTATGCTCCGCCACAAGGGGTAACAGGCGTAAGTAAGTATCAACAATTCTGATTGACAAGACAATCATTTTGATTCATTTTCACTTTTCAAAAAGGTCATCTCTATTTTTTTATAATGTAATGCCAAAAGTTATTTCCTCTCTTAGACTAATTTTATGGAATCTCAAGTGTTACTGTTTCACATATTTTCATAAGAAAAACTATCCAAATTTATCTATTTTAATTGTTTCTTTCATTTTAGTAGTAACCTAAGTACGAATTAGCTAAGAGTGATTCTAAGCATTAACATTTCATTCTCTATGATTTAATTGTTTAAACCGCTACTCAGTTATTTACTCTTCTCAATATTTCGTGAATCTTGTTAGCGAGCTTTACTTTAATTCTAAAGGATAAAAGTTGAAATTTGCATAAAGAACAATATTCATCTTAAAAATGCAAATAAACCTTCTTAACATGTATTAGGTGACTCGAAAACCTTAGTTCAACACTTCATTCATGAATCCATTTTTGCTGAATAATGCTTTATAGGGTAATAATTGTACAATCGGTTCATTTTATTTTATAAGAATTAACTTATCAAGCTTTGTTTAAATTCAAGCGGTGTTTTCATATTTTGTTTTTTTTTCAATACAAATTTCCAGCAATTTCTTTTTCATCTTCAAGCAGCTCTAATTAGCTTACAAGAAAAGAAACAAAATTAACATATATGTGTTGTTTTTTTTCAAAACAAACAATACCTAATGACTTGACTACTAAATTTCAGTGAAAATAATAAACCTTTTTTGTATTTCTCAAAATAGATATTATCGGACCTTGGTGTAGAGCATTAAATGAACCCGTTGATGATTTGATTTTGTTTTATTCCTTTTTCATTGTCTCTGATAAATTTCCTTTATTTCGATGCATCAGTGAGATGCATTTGTTTTTATTTATAATATTTCGTTCGGTTTAGTTAAAACTATTTTTCTTTCGTTTAATCAATCATCTAATGAACTATTCAACCAACTAAATTAGTAACGACTTTATTGTAATAAAAGCTATTGTAATGTTTACTTACATTTCTATCCATGGTATTATCAGTGTTGAATTTCTTTTTATCAGAGCATTTATAATATAAAATTTATATTTATGAAGATGTCTAAAATTATTTGAAAAATATACGGAACCTATAAAAGAAAACAACTTTAAGTCATTTTAATCTGTTCAACTGATTGCTAGTTGCATCCAGAAATAAATAGATTTATGCCATTATGTTAATTGATTAGTTAAGTATTAAAATCAGTCATGATTCTTCAAGATCTTGATAATTTAAGTTAATGAATAACCGTATAAGTGCTATTTAACTTCATTTAGTTGGATCAATGTTTTTGAAGTAAATCTCCTCGTGTTTTCACCATACTATAGTTTTTATGAAACCGATGATCAATATGTATATGAAGCTAGAAAGACTTAACGAACTCAGATTATAAATTATTTGGTATATTAACCTGAATATCTTTGATATTCGCTTTAGTTAAAGAAAGTTTTTCTGAGATAACTGATAAGGTATAAAATCTCCAAAACTGAGGAAAAATATCTATATTTTTATCTCTGAATTTATGAGGAATTTTTTGCGATATCAATCTGTGACGACAGCTGTCTACATATTCTAAATGATTAATCAAATCAACGGTTTCATCGTTGGTCATATATACCTTGTAGTTTATTGATAGCAATCACTAGAAATGTTTCATAGCTACATTTCATGTGTGTTACTATTTATTGCAAATTTATTCCCGGCTTTCAGATAACCGATACATTTTTTAAAGATACTAACTTTAGTTGCGTATCGCCTCAGCTGAAAACACTGAAATAGAACTTTTGATCAGCGATTTATATAATAAAGGGCTAGGTCTATCACAGAATAGGTGTCACGTTGTCTAGTTCGAAGTACTGATTAAATTTCATTAAGAAGATATAGAGTTTTGTCCATAAACGATTGAACTCCATAGCCTCTGTCATTTCGTTTCAAGAATATATGATTGAAGAACAGAAAGCTACTTTAGTAACATTTTGTGTTAATTAATATTTATACAT